GACACAAACGGATGCAGCACACTTCATATATTTGCCAACTCGTACATCGTAAATTCATATGAAATTTACGTGTCGAAATAAATACTGAAAATTTTACGCAAAATTAATGATATGAGAAAATGTATTTTCGTATATAAAAATTTTTCGGCGTGCTGCTTGCTTGCATTGCACTTTTGTTAAAATATTTGTCATAGTATCTGCACATAAGATGCTAATAAAAATAAAATAAAAATAAAGTAACTAGAAAGTAAAATATTTTTTGCTTCAAAGTTAAGCTTCAAAGACTTATGTGGCCCTTTATGATTTACGATGAAAGATTGTTACCCTTTAAAATGTTGCAAATGGGGCGGTAGAAATGGATCGTGCTAAATGTAATATTCGTTTGTGCAATAAATCAAATCGTGAAATATTTACTGCCCCTTCGCCAACGCTCAATAATTATTTGCACGTTTTGTAAGTCATTAATTTTTTTGCCTCATTAATACGAGAATCTTTTAGATTCATTTCAGAAATTTAACATTTTGCTCCCTACACACAAACATCTATTTAGTTAGCATTCATTGCTTAATTTAGTCACTTTTTGCACTGTTCTTGTTTTTTGTTTTTGTTTTTGTGTTGAATTTAGAATTTTGTCTGCAAAACAATAGTAACAAGTGTTGGAAGCAGTAACTTGATTTTCTGTCATTTCATAAGTAGGGAAAGGTTTTCATAACAGTATTTGTTGTTGTTTGAAAAGTTGGAAAAATCAACCTTCTATGTCGTGCTCTATGGTACGCTTGTATGTCAAGTGCTGACACTAGTTTTCGCCCCTTTGACACCATGTTGATGCTTGTCCATACTTTTTACTACAATTTTTTTGACACTACACGAGTGTTGAAGATTTTTTTACTATTTGTCAACAAGAACGTTTTCCTTTCAGCTAAGAATCATATTATCTATTTTTAATTTTTTCTCTTCGTATATTCGTTAGTTTTTGTTTATTCTGGCTGCACTGAATTATAATTAATGAACGCCACAGCTGGGGCACTTAGTTGTTGTTTTTTTTATTTTATTTTGGAGAAGAAGGTAAATAAAAAGGTAAGGACATGACGTTGATTTAAAGTCAAAACATAACACGATACATTAACTAATGAAAACTCAACATATGCTGTGTCAGAATCAACATGAATAACATAATTTCATTCATCGTGTTTTTTTAATTTAATGAATGACAAATTGATTTTATAAACAGAAATTACTTAAACTCATTAAAATGGTTTGAATAATTGCTAAAAGCAATAAATATTATCACTAAAGTAATTAAGCCAAGAAATACATTTTGAAGTTTTAAGTGGCCTTTAGACATCAACGCGCGTTGACAAACACACGAAGTCTTCTCTCTCCATTACACATTAAATTTACCAACAATTTTTTAAACACGCCTCCAGCAAAGAATGCAAAATTTGTTCACTCATCAGTATTAAAGCAATCGCTGAAGTGTCGACAGCGGCTGCTATGCGTAATTTCCTTGCGAAAAATGATGTTTTACATTTAATTTATAATTTTAATTTATATATTTATATTTATTTTTATGATTTCAATTTATATATTTATTTTTATTTATATTATATTTTATATAATTTAATTTTTTTTTTTGGTATTTTTTAGTATTTTTTGTATTTTTATTTTATTTTAAATTTTCCGTAGGTGTACAATGCAATTAATATTTAAAACAAAATTTTTATTGTAATTTAATGTTTGGTTATTTTTTTTAGCCCAAGGTTATTAATATTTTAATTCTTCTTAATAAAATGTTTTGGAAATTAAAAATTTTTACCTAGGTAGAAAATACAAATATTTAAAATTAAATTCATTCATATTTGCAAAGCATCGCATGCTAACGACAAATCGTAACGATGTTTACGCTTCCATTTCTCAAAATAAATAAAATTTTGCATGCCGACCAAATCCGACTGTATATGCAAAAACACCGAGCATGTTTGAAGAAATATCAAAATTTTTTGATTTTCGTCAACACATTTCTTAAAATTTCAAATGTTACTATTACACAAACAAATTTCGCATTTCACAAAGTAGGAGAAAAGTAGGAGAAAAAAATTCTCATGTGAGAGCGATTTTTTAGTATATTTGTTGTTTTATCTGGGGCGTGTTTAAAAAATTTTTTAAAAATTGTTTGTGTAATGGCAAGCGCGTGTTGACAACGAACGTTGCTGTCTAATGGGCCCTTTAGACAAAAAATGTCACTCATACGCAACGTGATACGCAAGTTCTGTCGTTACTCAAAAGGTCACTCATACGCACAGTGACCCCAAATCAAAATTTAAAATATTAATAATTATATATTGATTTTGAATAAATGTATTTTTATGTTTTAATCTTGTTGTTAAAGTTTGATTTTTTTAAAGGTAGTTTAAGAAATTTTTAATTTACATCGTAACAAATACCATTGTGATATCATTAAGAAATTTACCTCAACTTCTCCAACACTTTCAGTAAGTCATTTGCATTTTATTGAAAGTAGACTTAATAGGTCAACTGTGACTAGTTGGTAGAATTATTCAAAATAGAACTTTCTCCTGACGTTTTTGATTGGTAATTCTGGAATAACTTTTTTAATTGAAAGTCGCTTTTAGTGCAATTTTACATTTTCGATTAGTAAGTCTGTATAAATCTCAAGATTATGTATAACGTTCGAGATTAATTTATAACACTCTAGATATTTTGATAGAGTAGCAAGATCATACTGAAATTAACAGCTGTTTTATATGACGACATATTAAGAGTGGTTTGTTTCGATATATGTATTTATGAAAAGTATAAATATCTACTAACACAATTACAAAAATTTTAGATTACTTTCAAAATGTTTAATTTGACAAAAAAATTTGGCAGATCGAGAGTAAATTCAGATTGAATTCAGATTTACCAATCGAAAATGCCTCCAGATTAAACTGGTTATCCGAAAAGAATCGAATTTGGCTGCAATATGCATTAAATTGTTTCATCTATGCTCTTATACTGGTTGTCTTATGCAGTAGTTCTTGTTAAACTTAAGAGAATGCCTATTATTTTCTGGCTCAATTTGACTTAACTCGTTTAATTTCTAAGAATAAGTATTATAAACTTAAATAATGGCTTTAGAATTGTTTGAGTTATAATATTTCTATTAGGCTGAGAAACACTGATACATATATAATACACATAATTGCTAAATGAAATAAAATTTACGTTCGCATATCTACATTTATAATTTTGTGTTCTCTGACTTCCTCTTTAAATAAGTTATTTAGATGGGATTTTATTTTACGAGCAGGTATTTTTCAACCTATAACTAAAAACAATAAATTCTTTCAATTTAATGAAAATTTTTATCACCAAGGAAACTTACTTCTGAGTTATTTAGTTAAAACTATTTTTGCGTAAAAATCTGTGTGTATTGCTCCTGTAGTCATAGAATCCGCAGACGACTTTACTTATTCACCGAATGCAGCAATTAATTATCTAAATGGCACGTTAATTTAAAATGTATCTGAGATAAATTCGTAATTTACTTAATAAAACAACTAGAACGACTCTAATGATTTCACCTCTGCTCGCCTACAATTAATCACGGTGCCAAATAATTAATCAAATACTCGAAGGCGTTTAAATTAGCAGCACATCTAGTAATTTATAGCATTTAAGTCGCATAGTTTGTTGCGTACCTTAAGTGTTTTCCGAAAATGTTTGCCACATTTTTTCGTTCACTCAAGATTCCAAAGATGCGTGCCTTTCGAAAGTCTCATGTATTTTGTTTACGAGTCTTTCTGAATGAACTACCTTTTCTGACTGTTGAAGCATTTTTGTAATAAAAACGAATTCGGAGAAGCAATAATGGGAACTCGTAAAATGGAAAATAAAATGTAAAATTTTACTGAGAATATTGAAGAATGGTAATTCCTTTGATTGATGTGCACTTAAGTGCCGTTGACAATTGAGCTGTCAAATTATATGTCAACAGAAGCCGGGAGTACATAAATAATCGCACGTGCATTTAAATACACTTTCACTCCTTATGCCTCTTGACGCCTACATGCCCACTTTGAGCTTACTTAAGTCAACGCAGCTCGGTGTTTAATTTCGATCAATTATTTGCGTTCTTGTGGGAAATGATATCTCAAAATTATAAATAAATAAAATTTAATAAATTGTTGAATATATGCAAACAGTTTTCAATTGCAAAAATAAACAATTTAGGGCAAATGATCAATTTCAATATATTTTCCAATTTAAATATTAAAACATTGCCGCCATTTATGGAAAAAAGGTTTATAGTGAATATTAAATTAACGTTTTTAATTTGCTATATTATAAATTTATGTATATTGTATATGCACAGGATATTTAAAATATTTTCATCAATTATCATTAACATTACATATTTACATATACGTAATTTAATTGGTATTTTTATTGAATATTTTAAGTTCGTAGTAAGCAAAATACAATCAACAAAAAGCATGACTATTGGAAATACTATATATGTAGTAAGTGACACAATTTTTTATATCACAGATTAAAAAAACACATACAAAATACATTAAATAAAAATAAAATTTGTTAATGAAAAATAAATTATTAACTCGAAAATAATAACTTATAATTTTTTAAAAATTGTGTAGATATGCTATACAAGTTTTGGAGGAAAAAATATTTTTAAAGGAGTACCACGAAAAATTTTACTATATTAAACTTCATAAAAAATGAGTAAATGTTGTTCTTGAATTAAGTCTAACAAATGTAATTATAAAATTCATAATGTATGTCGCTAAAATAGACAGATAACACAAACTATCTAGCAATACATTTTCATTATAGAGCTTTTTATTGACAATTATTTTCGGTATAAAATTTTAATTTCTGTAAAACTTGGAATCGAATACAATATAATAGTAGGCCATAATTTAATTTGATACTGTACAGTATCAGTTTTATTGTAAAAAATATTTTTGACAGATCGATACTTATTCTCTTCGAATTAAATTCCTTTCCGTTTGTTCTGCTCTACGTTTAAAAACGCATTACAAAGATAATGGATTTCGACAGAGCATTAGATAATATTATTAAAGATAATGAATTAAAGGCAATGGGTAAATTGGACTATAATAAAAGTCTTGCCGAAATCATCTCCGATAAAGAGAGACGTGAACAAAAACTGTGCTATGAACGTCGTCGTTATGCCAAGCGCAAAAATTGGAGCAACTGGCGGCAATGGAGTTACACACATCGTGACCACCGCACTTTCCAAAAAAAGGTATTTTTGTTTTTATGACTTCAGAAAAATGTTACTTGTATAAAAATCTATTATTTGTTTTTATACATTTTTGGATTAATTTTCAGGTTTTTAATTACACACTTATGATTTATAAGCTTGAGAAAAATGTGACAAATGATGACCTTAAGCTTATTTTTGAGGAATCTGTAGGTAGATATACATAAATATAAATAATGCATTAATATAATATACACATATATTTAACATATATATTACATTCATCACAAATTAATTTTTATTGGTGTTTGCAAAATTCATTTAGAAATTCAAAGTAGATGCTCTAAAAGCTATTACATGGAATAAAAGTGGGTGGGACAGCAATGCTATTTAAACTGGAAGACATATGTAAGTGAATATACATAAACAAAACTAAGTATTTATAAATAAAAACTGTTGAGTTCTTTGTTCACAGATCTTCAAAATTTAGCTGCAAAACATCGCGTTGCCCCTTATCAACCAAGAAGTTTCAATCGTTTTATTCCACTTACTAAAATGCTAATTTTATTTAAAATTATAAATTCACACTTTTGTTACGCTCTTATAAAGTGTATATGTTTTAATATAGTAAAGTTAATATGAATAATAATTGCATTAATTTTTCCAATTCTAAAATTCGCACATATGAGTCAAAATTTTTAGAGAGTTGGTACTACTTGGGATGTAATTTTGATATCTTAAGTGTTTTTTTTGTGGTTGATTTGTATATGTACAGAAGAGAATATTATATAGCAGATATGTGTCATATAAAGATTGATAAAATAGATTGTTGCGAATTGGACACTTAAATATCCCACTGGTGCTATTACGGATAATGAAATTGATATTGATACTGATACAGAAATAGTTACAGAAATACCTAGAAACAAATTGACACACAAATACTGGAAATAGAAATGACACCCAGGTCCATTACTTAATTGTTTAGCAGAAAGGGATACATTAAAAACACAACACTGCTTGCTCTTACAGACTCATATGTTTCTGTATACTAAAGGTGAAATATTACAACACATTATTTACGATAAGCTGCAGACGTGTCCGAATTCACCAGAATGATTTTTAACTCAGTAATATGGTTTAGTAAGAAACGTTCCACCGTAAGCGTTACGACTAAAATAGTAATCATTATTCAAGAAACAGTAAAAGAAATAAGATGGAAAACTGATTGGAGCATGCTAATCCAATATAATGCAATCATTGAAAATATTTAAATTATTGAAATACTTAACCGCAATAATTTTACTTAAAATTGATCTTTCTGTTGACGTGACAATAGTCAGATATACAGATCGGTAGTCATATGCAGCGATTCTATCTTATGAATCAAAAATGGTTGCAAACTGCTAAACTAAAGCTTGCTTTAGTTAGAATATTGTTGATTAAATAATGAAATATCTATGAAGAGCTAGTAATAATGGTACGTGACTTATATATACCATCCTAACCTTACATAAAGACCATAGAGATAGAAAGTAATATTCATGCTAATCCTATATAATGCAGTCATTGAAAATATTTAAATTATTGAAATACTTAACCGCAATAATTTTACTTAAAATTGATCTTTCTGTTGACGTGACAATAGTCAGATATACAGATCGGTAGCCATATGCAACGATTCTATCTTATGAATAAAAAATGGTTGCAAACTGCTAAACTAGAGCTTGCTGGAGAAAAAGCGAATATTGTTGATTAAATAATGAAATATCTATGAAGAGCTAGTAATAATGGTACGTGACTTATATATACCATCCTAACCTTACATAAAGCACATAGAGATAGAAAGTAACATTCAATGAGCAAGTCAATGATGATCATAATTAGTAAGTAAGTATAAGTAAGCATATAAGAAGGCATAAAGTATTAATAACACATGAGATGTATTATTTATAAACTGCCAATAGATTCATTAGTAACCGTACATAAACTTTTGTATGCTAATGATACATAGAAACTAAGTAGCAAGATAGATAGAATAGATCAATATAAGGTCGATTGACCTTTTAAAGAATCCCACCGATAAACATATGGTTTAATAGGTAACAAGATTAAATTATAAATTAAAATTGATTTTAAGTCGACACAAATGTTTCAAGCAATACTTGTTCAAATATATATTGTTGTCTGGAATGTAAAATCCATTCAACAGGTTTGCCATGAAAGTAATAACTAAACTAAAAAAAATAGAACGTCTTCATACTGCAGACAATAGAACCGAATGATAGCCGATAATGTAAATAAATTGACAGATTAAGTTTCAACCTCATAACGGCGCTCGATGTTAATCTATCTTTAGTGATTTTATATATTTTTATAGTTTTTACATATTTAAAGAAATATAAGAAGTTTTTAATAAAGTTTATGAGAAATATATACCACGATGATATTTTAATCCTAATTATTAAAAGTATATGTATATAGATGTATATTTTCACATCTATTTAAAAAGCAAAAAATAATTCTCTGTGAAAATTAAACTTTGTTAACTATTATTGCTTGATCACCATCTGGAAACACTGTCAGCTTATGAAGGCTGGCAATCCTTTATAATTTTACTGATTTAAATGATAGTCGATAAATGTTAAATTTTTACGTACTATATGTGACGTATTAAATAATATTTTTCATTACTACACTTGTAAAATAAATATACTTATTTTATTTTAAGTACATGCTTAAAAACAAATTCATGAGATATACATATTATATCTATGGATTCGGTTAGGTTAATCTACCTGCCCGAAAACCATACATAGTTTATGTTTAGTATTAAGTAGTAATATTTAATGATGTAGCAAATGCTTATGAAATATTAATTTAATATTAATTTTATTGTTAATTATTATCCGTGATATTTTCTGCTATTAAAAGCAATGTGTTATAAGATAAATTAATGTTCAATAGCAAATACAAACAAAATTTTAATTAGAACTCAAGTTACTGTAAACTAAACTTAGCTTGATTCATTACTTAATTTTTTTTCACAGTAATAAATTCCCTTTAAATAATAAATAATATCTGAGAAAAATAAAACTAAATGAGAAAAATTAAAAATTAAAATAAAAGGATTGTTTGCTGAAACGAAATTACATTATGACTGTTTAAATATTCATATATTTTTATGATAAGCGTTATTACAAATTGCCATCTTAATTACATTGTTTTTATTTTTATTTGTTTTTCCATTGACACCGTTATTAATGTTGTAAGTTGAGCAGGATAACGTTACATTGTCGTATATGCACAGCAATTATGAAACACTTTTTATGTCAATTACTGAGAACATACACAACCTTCATTAAATATTAATGTGGACGAATTTCGTGTAGGAAGGTATATACACATATCCTTTTTACAAACAAGAACAACAACATCATTTGCTTATAATTTACAAAAAAAAAACGTTTATTTTCTCAAGGTCACATGTTTGCGGGGGCTAAAAAGTACCGGAGTGTTCCTTCCGAACAAACTCAATTAAAAACAATGGCTTGTATTATTAACGCATTAAAAGTTAAATACTTGTTGTCTTCACCTTCGGCGATATTTTAAGAATTAAAAACGCTCTTTTTTATTTAAAGTATATAATTTAAGAACCAATTTCTTTTAAAACACTGGCTGATATTCCGGATATTATAAGTAAGGTTTGTCTTTTAAGATAAATTTAACTACAAAAAAGTAAACTTAAGTAATTTTTACATATTAATTTATAGTCTTCTATTCTTTCTTAATATTAAATCTTAACAGAAATTTTTCTACTAAAAACAGATTTAGCAGTTTTTTATTTAATTTTGATTTACATAAGCTAAACATTTATATGTAAATATTATTGTACTTAATCCAGTGAAAAAAGTCTTGTGAAAACCCTTACCATTCGCTTCCTAACAGATCAATGGTTTCGCATGACTATATTCTTTTTAACATTTGAAGACAGTTTCTCAATTTAATCACTAACAGATATTAATGGATATAAAGAGAAAGTTGTCTTATGTTGTTCTCGATTGATAAATTAGGGGTAACTTTTTCAATCGAGATTTACTTTTAGTGCAATTTTTATTTTCGAGCGAAATGTATTAAAGTCGAGATATCTTGCCAGAGTAGTGATATTACCCTGAAATTAACAGCTGACTTGACTTCATATGACTTAATAAATAAAGTGTGATTTAATTATTTTGATGGAATATATAAACGCCTATTAATACAACTACAAAAATATTAGATTACTCTACAAGACTTCGATTCGGCAACAAACAGAACCACAGTAAATCTAGATTGAATCCAGATTTACCAATAGAACCGTTATCAATGTGCTGACCCCGTCTTGTCCTTCTTCTTAACTGCGCCTATACTTAGTCGCAGTCTTAACTTTAAAGAAAATAAAATAAAAGAGAAATAGTAGTATTAGTAAATCATTAAATATCATGGATGTCTAACATTTCAGTATTTAGTATATATTTTCTAATTTTCATTTAAGCAAAATTTTAAGATTTCAAATTAAATCACAATGAAATTTCTATTTTTAGGGAAGCTTAGTTAACTTTTAGTCATTATAAATTTATAGGTATGTATATGTACAATCGTAAGCTGAGAAAGTACTAAACAAGTATTTTTTGTTAAATTTTGTGTTAAATAAAAAATTAAACTTAAAATATTAGCATTTGCCTTTAGATCAATATATAAACTTTTATAGAACGATTAATTCTAAATGCAGTTATTGAAAAGTATTTAGAAATTAATTAATTTCAAAATAATAACGCAAGTCAATGATCAAAAACTTTTTATAATTTATAGAAATTAATTTTAAAATAGTAACTCATAGCAAATGATTAAAGATATTTTTTAAAACGTTTATCTTAAATGTACAATACATATATTTTAATACCTTCTCCTAATATACCTAAAAATCAATTAACTTTAAAGTAATAACTCATAACAAATTATTAGAGATCTTTATTAAAACGTTTATCTTAAAAATGTACGATATATATATATTTATACCTTCTCCTAATAGTTTGCCAAAATTTTTTTTGTTAAATTTAAGACATTAAATAAAATCGTTTGTTTACAGTGTTGGAACCTCAATTATTTTCTTTTACTCGATTAAAATGCAACTATTTACGGAACACAACTGCCTTAGCCGCAAACCTATCTAAATTCACAGAACTCACAAAATTATGGCACTATTTGTGTGCTAATTTATGTGAAGCAATCCAGGCTCAATTAATGTATAAAGTATATGCCATTTTCTGTGCTCGTATTTGTTTATGGTTACGAGCAAACACGATTGCATTCATTTGTGTAAGTAAATTTATGCTTAGCACATTGTTGGTGTATGTGTGTTTGATGTACATGAGAGTGTTTGATTGTGGCATAATGAAGTTATCATGTTGACACTTGTGTCGCCTTCAAACACACATCCGCACATGACACTCGAAACCAGACGGCATACATACATACATACCTTGCTGCTGCAAGAATCGCATATGTTAGCCATTCTCTATATTGAAGCATTTCTTGCGAAATGCATATACACTTAAATAAATGACAAACACAATTTCATTGCCACTAACACATTGC